CCCTTAAGCAAACTGGTTTCATAAACAAAGTTTCTATCATTGTGTAAAATGGTAAAATTTACTTCATATTGTGCTAAATTATCACTGCCATTAATGAAGTGTTTTCTTAAAAGCGTTGTGTATGAGTTTAATTAGTCACATATCGAAAAGTAATCATAGTAAATATTATAGTAATGAGCAAATATCACTAAGCAAATTTGAGCATTTTAAGCAGGATAACATCCCTATTTTTTTAATGGTGGTGAGTTCCTAATGTCTTGAGTATTTGTAGTCTTGATTTTGGTGGGAAAATTAATAAGCATTTTCTACTAGTTACTTGTTTCATCTTCCTATTTACAGAACTTATTTTAGTTCCCATTTTTATTATTTATTTTTTCTTGAATCCATTTTTGTGTCATATATTTTTGTAAGATTATTTCATTATGTGGTTTATTTTTGTATCGTGATATTTCTTTATCATTGAAAGGTTGTAAATGTTTTAATTGACTTTCACCATTGGAGAGGTAAATAATTCATTTAAACCAAAACTTACATGTAGCATATAAAAATTTATTAACAAATTTTATATACCAATGTAGCTACGGGGTGATTTTAACGCATAATGATAATATGAACGAATACAAGGAAAAAAAATGAGGTAAGGCAACTCGCCAGAGGCGTGACTATGATGATTTGAATTTTGGGATAGATTTATTATAATTATCTTTATGTGATCCTTCCCGGCACATAAGAGTCGTGACCAACCGCTTTCGATGTTATATCGTTAAATAACTTCTTGGGACTATGATTTAAAAGAGGCTTTTGACAATACTTAATGTTTTCGCTTGAGGCTTCGCTTAGAATTTCCATACACTACCACGCGTATCTTTCATTGAAAGTATCTAGCTTCACGTCTGTTTACTTTACTCGGCCAGTATTATCATTTCGGCCGATAAGTTTCATGTTATAACCGAGATTCAAAAACCTGTTCTGTGGTGGCGTCTTCAGAAATTTTTCGTAAATATCACTTTTTGCCCGTCGCAATAAGCGTTTAATGTTTGATTAGATGCACAGGCTTAGCGACCAAGAATTCTAAAGTGGAACTTTGAAAAGATTGATATTAAGATCCAAAGTAGAGATAGGCAGAGTAATACTTTTCTCTACCATGCATGCGTATTATATATAACATATAATATACAATAATTTTAGCTAAAAGTCCCGTTTTTATTCAAAAATCATAATTTGACGAGTCGCTATTTTGTCGATAATGTAATATGTATCAACATTTCGATGTGTTTCAGATTTTTAAAAGAATGTCGTAACCCATATTAATTCTAAACGACAAAAAAAAAATGAAATTTAAATGATATTTGCATAAAGTTTTAAAATAGATAGTTTGGTCTTCTTATAGCGTCAAATACCCTTATGTCATGATTTAAGAACTAATTCACAAAATTCGCAGGTAAATTTTCCTTAAAATTGTATTAAGGATAATAAAGCTTTAACTTAATGTTATTGCCAATTATTTAAGTGAACTTTTTTTTAAAAAAAGTTTTCAATTAGTTATCAAAAATATAAGAACATAAAATTAATATTCACAATACGTCTGGCATTTTCCATGCGCAACTGAGCTCTACTATTTTTTAAATGTGTTTATTGAAAACTTTTCAGTTTAATTACATTATAACGAGAGTGAATTGTGATATGCGATAGCAAAGGATAAAGAAATAATAGTAATGTAGAAATAAATATAGTTAAAATAAAAGTATCACTATAAAAAAAAAACTATCTTATAGAATATGGTTTAATCGAAAATATACATATTGTTAACAATACATGCAAAATTCAATTAATCAATGTGCATATATTCCAACACCTATTGCCGGCAGACATATTTTTTCTGAGATTTAAGTCCTCTTCATGAGTTCTATTTAATTCCCTGAACAAAGTCTTTTTCATATTTGAGAAGTTTTTCAGTGTACTGGTGTCCTTAACACTTTTATTGTATTTAACTATTGTCTTATAAAGGTATGAAAGGGAAAGAAATGATACTTGTAGGTCTGGAGTTGCCTCATTAAGCAAAATAGAATTTACGATGTCAACAGTGGCTGAATTGACTTTGACGAATGTAAAAGTAAATTTGTCATCAGGTTGCCTTTTGATACCTGTTTGCTTATCCCACCAATCTTTTTCAAAACAATCAAATTCATCATCAGATTCACTGTCTAGTTTTAATTTAAGTTGAGAGATATTTACATATTCCGGAATCGGTGGTGGATGAGGATCATCTTCAAAAATCGAACGATATTTGATTCCAAAAAAATTATCCTCAAATTCAAACATACCACCTCGAAATCTACTATCACAAAGGACCAACAATAATTTTGGAGAGATGACATAAAACTCATGAAAGGCTTTCTGAATTGGTCCCATTGGAGTAGTCATATTTATGCCTTCAAAGATTCCAAATGCGTTAGTGGTCATAATAAATTCATCGTTTTCACCAGCTTGCCAAATTGCGA